TCTCTTGTCATTTTTACCCTTCTTGAAACTCAAGACAAAAACCACTCTTCCTTAAAACAGAACTAATAAAAGAGCAGCAACACAGAATCTCATGCGCTTTCTAAGCTGATCACCCCTTTCTTAAACAGTTTTCCCCAGTTCTAGCAACTTGCAAAGGTACTAGGCTAGAAATCATGTCCCTAGACAGCATAACAGTAGGCTAGGTGGACATGAGGAAAATTGGGGGAGGCTGAACAAGTTTTGGTGGACCACAATTCACTTTTAGATGTCTGGAACCAGGGCGGCCCCCTAGTGACCAGAAGGGAAATTGCATGGTGGAATGCAGAGTGCTTTTCTTCATGGCTGCATTAAATGTTATCTTCCAATCCTTGATGGGCAGCCAAGCATAAATTTTGTTGCCCTGACTGTTGAACTTCTGTCTCAGTACAGTGACAAGACTGGTGAGTGGTGCTGTCCCAACAGATTTAATGTGGGACAAATTAAGGAAAACGACATAAAGATTTCTATGACTTTGTTTCCCCTCCCACCAAAGGGTTACATGCTAGGGGAAAATCCTCCACCAGGACTTCTCCTTAACATGCGGTGGAGTGAGTAGATGGCTCCTGGAACAGAGGGATTAGCTACCTTTCAGGTTGCTTAAAGGACTTGGGCTATTTTTGGACACAGGTCCAGCATCTTTTGAAAGAATGCTAAATCTGTATCCAAAAACAGCTCAGCTGACAGGTCGCAGAGGAAGGCCACAGGATGAAATGAGAGGGAAGGATCTACAAGTGCTTCAAGGGAATTAAAGGGCTAGCAGTGAATGGCAATGGCTGGCATCCGGAAATACTCCATGGAGTAAGCAAAATGGCACTGCCCCCTCCCCAAGGTAATCAAAAGTGCCTACAGTTATGGCCATGCAAAATCCCTCATTGGGAAACCTGTAAATGCACTAATAAGTGGCAGAACCAGTTTCCTGCAGCCAGCAGAACTGGGCTCTTGTGATTCAAATCAGCCTTATCTGCAGCACGGGGCTAGTGGGACCTCCAGAGCGTGCCTATCTTGTTTCCTAAATGTAAATCTGGCACTCTTTCCACAGAGCACCAAATCTGTTTCTGATAAAAACAGGGCTGGCACTCTTTTAAGAAGGGGCTAACCCTGTGTGTCCAAGAAGCCCCTGAAGTCCTGACAAGTGGATCGCTATTTAGCAAGTCGTGATGATATAACAGTACAATGAGCCAGCCACATTTGACTGCATGACAACATAATTTATAGCAAAGAAGCCAGTGCCTTGCCTCATTTGAAACTGGTGTGGGGAAGAAAGATATATTGTTCTTGCGGTGGCCAGCTTTGGAAGCAGAAACACCTATCCAATTATTTTGCCCAAAGCTATTACTACTATTGCCTGCATGGAAAATCTGGAAAAGTTGGAAATTTCATGAATGCTTGGCTGTCAATTTCCTGAAAGAGAACCTGAGTGAGAAAACTAACTCTGGCAGGATGATTCAGTTCTGAAGAGGTCTTCTGAACGATGCCACTGTGGCCATTTCACCATGTGACACCTGGAGAGCCTTTAAGAGTGATGCCTACAGGTGGGCTGGTAGGGGCAATAGTGGGAACACTGGCGCTACGACTGGGGAAGGAGGCTTCAGAGACAGCTCAATGGGAGGAGCAGGTTCTTCTCCTTCCAGCAGGGGTACTTCTTCCTTTCCCATGTCCATGGACCTTGCTTCCCAAATGCCACGCAAGTGGTCCATTTCCTGGGATTTTATTAATGGAGGACAATTTTTTTAAAAAAATAGCCAATGTATGTAAAACTTTCTCCATCTTGATTAAAGACAGAGGACGCCTTTTAAACCGCTTTTTATTTCCATCCTTTCTTTCCTTGTGTTTTAAAAGCTTTTTTAAATTTCTAAAATAGAAACTTCTTTTTAATCTGATGATTTTTTAAAAATGCAAGTACACGGTTATAGAAGAAAGAGTGGTCCGAGCATTTAATGAAAGGCCAGGGCTCAATCATGCTGGTGGTTTGGATAACCAGTGCCTCAAAGAGGAAACCCTAACATACCATGTGCTTTTCTCTCCCTACGTGGATGAACACTGCTATTATAATGAGGAATAGTGTGATTCTGAGTGCTTTGTGAAACCACGTTGTAATTTCAGTTCCAATTGCAGCTCAACATAGCAGATCAACGCCTCAACTGTAACAAAAGGATTATGGTACGAAAACAACTTCAATCCTATTTCAGTTCATATTTTGCTGTAAACGTTCTGTCCCATCTCTCTGAAGCTACGTAAGAGCCAAGTCAGCTTTTGCATAATTTTCTACGGGAATACCATCTGTACAGCAGACAAACTCATGAGTTCTGCACTGTATCCTTGAGCTGCTTGTTTCCCATATGCAAACCAGCTGGGATCAAAGGTGGGTTAAGAAATCCCTTTCCAGGGATTTCAAATGCCTTCCTCCATTTCGGCCATGGGGATCACATTTCCCACAGCCCCGGATTGGGGAAATCCACTGTGAAAAAAAGGAAAAGTGCTTGGGCTCGCAGGGGAAAGTAGCAGAAAGCCGGTCAATTTCATCTAATTAAAAACAACTAACAAACAAACAAGCCGGCATTTTATTGTTTCATCAATAAACTCATTTTTTAAAAAGCCCAGTTTTTCACCATACCAAAGGCACGTGGATGTGAAAGCATCAGGGTCGTGGAGGACAGTGACTGGGGGTTGGGGGAGGTATTCCTGCCCTGTGCCAGTAGCTAAGGGGGCAGGGGTCCTTGAGAACAGTGAAACGGAGCACGGCAGGCAGCGTCTCTTGAACTGGCACGAATGAAAAAAAGCTACTCTTTAGGACACGCAGCGGAAAAAGGACAGGAGGAGGTGGCCTTCCTGGAGGGATGGGAGCAGGTGAAGGACAACATTGTGCGTTCCTGCTCTCGGAAATGGTTAGTGCTTGCCCTGAGGCCAGCTGGTCATATGGATCAGCCCTGAGTGAGTAGTCTGCTTGATGCAAGGATAAAGACCCCTTTTCTCAGTGCATCGTGCAGGGGACAGTGACAGACTGTAAGGGCAGGGTCAGGGCTTCCCAGAGTGGCTAATGCCACTTCATCAACCCCACCCCTCACATCCCCTGGCCCAGGTGGGCTTACAAAGGCAGGACAAAGAAACTGTCAGAATTTTCTGGTGGAAGAAGGCAGCACTTTACACCTTTTAGGTAACCATTTCAAGAAAACAAGGAAAATTAGTCACCCTGCAGGACATTCTCTTTCATTTTTGCTTTGAGATTTTCTGGTCATAGAAGCAGCTATTGCCCAATACTTGCAAGGCTGACCTACGTACTGCAGGTTATATACACCCTTATGTATAGAAGCAGCAGCATCAGGGAACGGAGGCAGAGATGCAGCCTCAGGGCTCCTCCGCCCAGCTGCCCTGATGTGCTTCTTCCACCCAGGAGGAAGGTATGCCGGCGGAGGAGTCACTGCCCCAAAGCCTGCCTTTCCCCAAGCCTCAGGAGTGTTGCTGCTTTCCCAGAAAGGGGGTGACTTTTGAGGCAGTTTGTTGGACTTTTTGGAGAGGGGGAACCCAATAGCAGCACAACGGAGCTCTAGACTGCAGGCTGGTAATATAAATATACTTCGTCCTGCTAACAGTCTGTGCAGGAGGAAAGCATGTGAGGAGTGGGCTTGGGAGGAGACGGTGAACTTGACAAGGCTTGGGGAAGGCATCTTTCCACCCAGCTACCTCTGCAGTCACTCCAGGAAAAATTGCATAGGCAGCTGCGGGTTTCTGCTTGCCGGCTCCTGACAGGGGCACCTGTTCTCACCCTGGTAGTGTGCCTCCTTCAACAACCCTGTGTGACGCAGAGCACAGCAATGGAAAGTGCATCCCCTACAGCACACACACATTTGCCTTCTCTTGCAGTACCCTGCAGGGCAGAAGTGGTGAGGTGGGGTTGCACCTCTTCCTTTAGTTCCAAGCAGCTGGGAGGGGAATGGCAGGAACAGAAGCCCCTCCCTGCCCCTGGAACCACCTGACTGCCCAGAAGGGAAAGTCCTGGCTCCTCCCCACCTCATTCTCATCTCCATATGTAAACTTGGGACTTCAGGATTGGAGTATTCACCACCACAAAATAGCATGCTGGGGGAGAGGGAAGAGGGGAAGGAAAGGGAAGAGCAAAGTTACACTGAAGAAAATTTCCTGCTTACCAATGGAGTATCAACCTCACTGAAGACCCTCCTTTGGTCCACTATGGGGGCACTATTTCCCTGACCAAGCCAGTAGTACAGAAAAGGAGAAGTGCACAAGAAAGGTGTCTGGCCTCTCTGGCAGCCACAGTACACAGCCATGGAGATACGGAGTCATCTAGCCAGATTTTTTTTTGGTGGGGGTGTCTGTGTGTCCTCAGCCAGCCAACTGGAGGACCACACATTTCCAAGCTCTGGAGATGCTTCCTCCATGGGCTGGAGATTATCTGGAAGGGAGATTTTCTTCCATTTTCTCAGGGAAAACATTTTCAAGCCAAGTCATCAGGAATCAGCGTCAGCCTGCTCCAGTATCAGGCTGACACTGCGAAGGATGCTCCACTGTGAGGATATGTCCCTAGCAAGTGGTAAATGGGGTATCTTTAAGTTGGAGCAAGGAATATGTGTGAATAAACTATAAGGTAGGGATGGATTGGAAGCTGCAGCAATGGTTGAATAGCATTGGGAACTAAGTAGAGCAGTGTTTCTCAACCTTGGCAGCTTGAAGATGTGTGGACTTCAACTCCCAGAATTCCTCAGCCAACATGCTGGCTGGGGAATTCTGGAAGTTGAAGTCCACACATCTTCAAGCTGCCAAGGTTGAGAAACACTGCTCTAACTTCAACTCCCAGAATTCCTCAGCCAACATGCTGGCTGGGGAATTCTGGAAGTTGAAGTCCACACATCTTCAAGCTGCCAAGGTTGAGAAACACTGCTCTAACTTCAACTCCCAGAATTCCTCAGCCAACATGCTGGCTGGGGAATTCTGGAAGTTGAAGTCCACACATCTTCAAGTTGCCAAGGTTGAGAAACACTGAAGCAGAGGATGTAAAGCACAGGAGGTTGTGGCACAGGACCCGTTCGAGCAATGCTTGTCAATAGAAGACACATTTTTCCATTATCTGAGTTCTCTGCAAAGCATCCATGGGGCAGGGTTTTATACAGGATCTGCAAAGGAAGAGCCTGCTTTGGACTCAGGGATGCCGAGGCATGCGACTCTCCCATTGTCAGTCCTATTTACCCACACGGGCCCTGAAAGTTGCTGCAGTGCTGTGACGGCCTATGCTCGATACCCCAGCATCTGGCTAACAGCGCGGAAAAGCTGGTCGTGGTCCCTTTCCATTCTGGAGAGCTGCTGCTCCTGCAAGACACATGCTAGAGAGAGTCAGTCATATCGCACCACTTTTTAATCTAAAGCAAGTTAGTCCCCAGGAAATCGCGCTGCCACCTCTATGTGCCTAACAGGCCTGATAGTGCCTAACGCGGAGAAGTCTTATATGAATAACTTATATAACTTATATAATGTGAAGAAGTTTCTTCTTGAAACTCTCTCTGGAATACAGTACTGTAATGGCATCTGCAAGGGCAGAGCCAAAAAAAGCAGGATGGTGAGTGTCACAGTGCCAACCCTACCCCTTTTGTCAATACACGTAAAAAGGGCCGGGGCTTTTTGACCCCTGCCCTTCCACAACACTGCCACCCAGGTGGGATGTAGGCGCTGGCTTTCTACCTATTTTTTGTATTTCAGAACTTTCTTTCTGTGACTTCTATGACACATCTCAACAGCCTTTACATAGATTGGACCCCCTTCTCCAGGAATACAAAAAGCTCCCTTCAACATTGGGAGCATGGAGCCCATATGAACATTCAAATGGATCAAAACCCCTGTCTATCCCAACCAGGGACAACTGGGGACAAGGGGAAAGAGACAAAATGTCAAGATGGTGGCTTCAACTGAGCACATATAAAAGAGGCAGGACTTTGATTCCTTGGTTGCAGATGCCATCTAGCCATATTTGACACACACCCCATGGATGCCTCTGCTCCCAACTAATAATTCATATTTCATCTTAATGAAACAAGAAGTGTGAGAATTGCCCATTGGAGTAAGTTCTTCCTTCACTACATGAGATACTGCTATTTCCAGAGTATACATTAACTTTCTGCCTGCTCCTCTTACCACCCCAGAACCACTGTTGAGCAAAGATCTCTCTTCTTTTTTCTCTCCTTAACCATTACGTTGTCCAAGGACTGGGAATGGCTCTGGAGGGCTCTTACCAGATGTTTGGCCTTCTCCTCACTCACTCGCAGCTTCTCATGATCCTTCTTCCAGCTGGCCTCTACGCTGGACACCCTGATGAAACAGAGGAGTCAACTCTCCTACAGATCTGACCCCAGATGGATGTGGTTTCAACCTCCCTCCACATTCCCTTGCTGGCTGGGGAATTCCAGGAGCTGAAGTCCACACATCTTCAAGTGGCCAAGGGTGAGAAACGCTGCTCTAGATGCTTAATTCAGCCTATATGAGAATTATTCCCAGTGGCACAGCCAACGAGGTACCTCATCAACTTTGTTTTCCATTGCAAGGATTGTACTGCCATGTTTACTTGTTTTTTTTCAACCCAGCAGAAGACTTCAGCAGTGGATCATAGCTCAGAGCAGCTGGCCTTGCTGTGGGAAATGGCAGGAAAGATCAGGCCACGGGTGCCTACCTCACTGCATGAGCCCCAGCAGTTTTTTACTTCCTGCTAGGCTCCTTAGCATAAGTGGGTTGGGCCCCAACTACGCCCTGCTGGATTCCCAGACAGGAAACTTGGGCTGTTCCCTTCCTTAGCTCCTGCCATGGGATCTGCATTGCCTGACAATCTGGTACTCAGACTGTGGATAGGATGAAAATTCCCATGGGACTAGCAGTGCCCCCCACCCCCACCCCCAGCATTTGACAGGTGCTACATATACATATATATCAAAGTGTCTCGCCTCCTCTTGCTGGCTTCTCCTACCTGCTGCTGAGCTGGACCAGGCAGTTTTCTGTCTCTTCCAGCCTCTTGCCAAGCACCTCTTCTCGTTCTTGAAATCTGGCCTGCTCCTGCAGCAGCACTTGATTCTGAGCAGACAGTGACTTCACCTGCTCCTCCAGGAACTGCTGCTGCTCCCTGGCTGAACTCAGCTTCATTTGGAGCACCTCCATCCGCCTCGCATACTGGGGTGGGGGGAGAAGGGAAGGGTCAGTACGGAAGCTTTCCTAGGAAGAGCACTCCTGGGCTGCTCTGCAAAGGGGGGCGGGGGAGAAGGGCAAGGGCTCAAGGCTAAGACAGTGCAGGAAAGCTAGGCAGGAGCCAGAGAAGAGCTGGATAATGGGATTTTTTAGTCTCTTCTCATTATAATTGGGGAAGACTCTGGATTCTGAAGCCTTAAGAAAGTACTGGCTTCAGCTGACAAGATAGCTTCGGTAATAAAGATTTTCTGGGGCAAGGGAGAAAAGCCCCCATTTTCCCCATTCAAAGAAGCAGGACAGCTACACATTTAGACTGTGTTGACCCATTGTAAAATTAAAGCTTTGAGGCTTCTCTTTCCTAGTTTCATCTTCCCCCGATTAGGGGGAAGATCTGCAGTATAACATTCCAGATGTTGCTTCTATGTGAAGTTTCCCTAGTGAATCAAAATGGCTCCCACTAGCTGTGGTTTGAACAGATGTTTGTTACTGTTGTTGTTATGATTCCTAACAACAACAGGAAAATATTTGTTTCACTTCTTCCCCGCTACAAAACTACAGGGGAAGAATTGGGAAATGTAAACAGCTAGAAGAATGATCTGCAAAGCACTGCAAAGTGTGTCTTCTCCATTCCCTGTATTGTCCAGTGCAACATGTCAACTGCCCATTACATAGGAGTCTCAGTTACATACCTGTGAATGCATAGCTAGGTCTCTGATACAGTGTCTTTCAGGAAAAGTAACCTGCAGCAGACTGCTATTTTTCAATGTTGTTTTACAACCTGTGGATATTGACCCACCGAGTTTAGGCTCATTGATCAAGCATCTACAAAGAGGATGAGCCACCCAGAGTCATATAAGCGAGATGGGCAGCTATATAGATTGAAATAATAAATAAATAAATGGTGGTCATTCATTACATTTCTGGAATGACCTAAGTCCTTTAAAAGCATTACTTCTACTAGATGCATGTATGCAACTTTCAGTGCCGTACATTCTCTTCCATCATTTTTTTTGTGGATTTCTAATTAAGATTAACCCTAGACAGAATCCTAGCATGTGGGTGATCCTCTGAGGAGAATCCTCCTATACCTGTTCCAGGGGTTGCATGGTGTACAGGCAGTTTTGCATTGCTGATGCATCCTCAGAATGTCGTAACCAAGGCACCGACGGTTTCTGGGGCAGCGATACACAGGGGTGGAGCTTTGAGCCCCGCTGGAGCAGAAAAACGTTATTTGGTGAGTTTTAAGGAGGCCATGAATCACAGAAATAATTACAGAGACATGGAAATAGTTCAACCCACTTCCAGTACAGAATGTCCAATAAATGGAACCTTCATGCTGGAAAACCAGGAGGAAGATAAGGAAACCATCCGAGGTGGTTCAGAGCCCAGATGGAGAAATGTTGAGGAAGTCTGAATAGTGGACTTGACCACATCTTCTCTGTAGAACTGGAGAGAGAGACTGCCCAGTCTTCTCGTGGAAAAGGCCTTCCTTTCTGTTACCTCAGCAGCTTTCCAGGAAATTGCAACTGGACTAAAGGGAGTTGTAGGCAATCAAGACCACATTTAAATACAGAAGTTGAGTGGCCCAGTCTAGATCTCGGCTTACCTGGGTCGCCTTGTTGCTGTCACCATTGTACAGAGAGGAGTCATAAGGCTGAGGGCTGCTGTCCTGTTTGTCAGCCACACGCTCTGTGCTGTTCTGCTTGCGAAGACGTCGAGATGCCTTGCTCTGGGTTGGGACGCTCTGGGTACGCTGTACTTTGCTCCTGTTTTTGGTTTGATGTAAAGGAGTCAGTAGCTCTTCCTTGCCTCTGTTCTTCTGGATGCTGGTCATGGACTGGCTCTTGATCAGAGGGCTGTATTTGCTCAGATCCCGTGGTGGCACAAACCCTAGTTTCTGTTTTTCAGTGTGTCTGAAACACAAAGAATGAGGGGTCAACTGTGCAAAAGACATAATAATTCAGAGCAATGCTGGTCATCTCAATTCCAGACTGAGTCTTCAGACCTAAACTTGTCTCACATCTACATATCCTTATGTTGTGATGCATACATTTCTAAAGTGTCTCCATCCCATTTTCTTAGCCCAGAGTACTTTTAGGGCAATTTCTGTGTGCTATCAAACTATGGGCATAGCCAGATGGCCACATTAAAGTGCAACCCACCAGTCCTTTAGCTGGCAGAAAAAAATTGCTGTCCTGCCAGCGAAGCCCTATTCTGCTATAGTAACAAAGTTCAAGAGTGGTATTGTCTTTATAGTTTTAATGCAGGACAACAAGGAAAGGGAATGATGGATTCCCCCAGCATGGTTTCCCCTCTCTCCATGTGTCACCTGCCAGCTGGAAAAACAGCCACCCATCACTCTCCTTCACATGTGGTGGGGTGGAACAGGTAAGTGTTAGACAAGTGCTTTGAACAGCAGATTTGCCATCTGTCAAGTTGCCAGATGGGTCACAGATACTACAGAGCTACTCCACATCTGTGACCTGTCAGGCTAATTTTGAACACAACTCTAGTGGTTTTTTTGGAAGGCTGGGCTAACAAATGCAGATGAGGGCATGGGGGGAACCAGGTCAGAGCAAGTGATAAAGAAGGGAGTTCCATCCTCCATTAATGCTACAAGGTGGCCATGACCATAGCACAAAGAGGTAAGCCATTGGAGTAGGCCAAAGAGCACCCCTTCCCCAAAGAAATAAAAAGGGCGGGGGGACAAGTGCCATATGAAATTTCTTGTCAGCTCCCACAGGACCGCACATCACCTTTGCTGCTGCCATTCATTACCTCTCTTCCATGTGAGGCCCAGGAAGGATGGAGACAGGCACAGGGGTTCCCTCTTGGATGGCCTGGAGGATTGCTGGCAGAGGCTGCAGTCTCTCCTGTGTCCGCTTGTAAAGAGAAGAGCAGAAAGGGTCCACATAAAGAATGTGGCCAGACTGATGGTAAAAATTGCTCTCAATCTGGCCAAAGGCTGATCCATTTCCTATCTTTTGCATTTATGCATTTACACTCATATATACTTATTTACTTATGCTGTATATTTAAACCCACACACACAAACTTGAACAAACTTTAAAAAGTGTATCCTGCCTTGGGCAATTTGCCTGTAAAATGGCCTTTCCTCCCTTCCTCCCTCTCTTGTAAACTTTACTACAGATACCCTGTCCTCACAGTTGACCCCAGCAGCATACGGACGCATGTCCTCCTCAGATGAAGCGGGACCATCTTTGGCAATCTCCCAGCTACTACAAAAATAGCTGGAAGGCGGTGAGTTTCTGATTTTTTAAAAACTATTTGAAAAAAGTAAATACATCTTAGAGGACTAATCAGGGTCAGCATCACCACGGAGGGCAGTTGAGGAGAGTTATCCACCTCCACCCATCTTCCCCCATTCTAGAGCCACATTGGGGTAGAAGAGAAATGGAATTCCTGGAGCAGTTCCAAGGCTACGGGGAAGCACTTCCTGTAGGCGACTCATTCTCGGTTATCCCTCTACTCCAGGGTTTCTCAACCTTGGCAACTTTAAGACGTGTGGACTTCAACTCCCAGAATTCCCCAGCCAGCATATGC